AGAGCCCTCTGATGGCTCCCTCGGGGGGTGGGAGTCACTCCGCCCACTCTGACAGTGATGCCTGGTCAAGACTCCACAGGGTCATCCCAGCATGGAGCCTGCACACACACCCAGCTCCGACCATGTGTGGCACCCTGCCTAGATCATCCCCAACCTTTTGGCAAAGTAGCTCCCCAGAGACCCCACAGCTGGGCTTTCCCATGAGCCTTCGATGAGCCTGATTCAGCCAGCCACCCAGACTGGGGAGATAAGACCCCTCGAGTCTGCATCTGGCCGGGACACAGTGTCCCCAGGGTTAAGTGGGGCTGGCACTAGAGGCAGCGGTGGAGTTAGCACTCAGAGTGTCCACATGACCACAACAACCTCCCTCTCTGCCCCAGGCCCAGGCTGCCCCTCCCATGCTCTCTCCCTGATAGACTTCCAGACCTTTCCAAAGCTCTCCCCCCACCATTCTTCCCCACCCTCTCTCTCTTCCCCTTTCTCCCAATATTGATTTTTCTTTACTGTTTTTTTTTTCTAGGTGATTTAATTGCTTTTTTAAGGTTACTTTGGTCTTGGGCTCAGCCAAGAAAATGGGGAGCTGTCCCCCAAGCTCTCCCCAGCACTTATTTCTGTCCATACATGTCCCTGAGCCCTCCTGCCATCCCCTGAGATCTTGGGGTCACACTTGGCTTCCGCTCCCATCAGGAGCCAGATCACACCCTCTCCTCCGGAGGGATGGCAGGGAACCTTCAACCTCTGTAAGGAATAAAGTTGGACAGTCACCAGTATGGGGAAGCAGGGGTGGGAGGTGCGCTAGGCTGCTGGGCAGTGGAGCAGCAGTTAGCTGCACACCCCACACTCCGCCCCACAGCCAGCTGTCTCCAATGGTCCCCCAGTCTCCATCTAGTCCCCAGATGTCCAGGAATGTGGCTACACTTAGTGGGAGCTCACCACCCCCATCTTCCCAGTCCATCTCTTCGCCTTTCCCCCCCCCTCCTCTCCAATCTCTTCTGTCCCCCTCCCTGCCCCTCCACACCCCTGTCCCCTCTGGCCCTTGTCCCCACTCCCCTCCCTCTTCCCGCTTCCCTGCCTGCCTCCCTCTCTGCCCGGCTGCAGTTGGGTGATAATCTCCCTCATTTAGCCTCCCGGCTGCTTCCCCGGCTCATTGCCCAGCTGGTCCCTGGGGCCCGGCCCAGCTTCTTCCCCACCCCCAGCCCTGCGCCCAAGCTCCCCCATCCCTTTCTGCTTCTCCCACCCACTCCCAGGGGACCAGCTGCCCCTTGCAGTGAAGCGTCACCCCCGGCATGGCCAGCCAGGAATTGAGCTGGGTGTGAGCAAATGGGGAGGGGCTGGGAAGGGCAGGGGTGGGGGTGGGGGACCAGGTGGGGGCTCTTGCAGGCTCAGGATGAGAAGCCTCAGCCCTCCAGTTGTCCCCATTCTCCAGATTTGTTCCTGGTCCAATTCTCCACCCACTCGCACCCCTCAGGCTTGATCTAGACTTTGCAGATGGACGAGAGGCAGAGATGGCAGGGGCATCTGCACCATTCGACAATGCGGGTCTTGGGAATGAGGGCACAAAATTGGTGCAGGGAAGAAGCCAGGGTGGTTCTGGCTCAGGGCACCTAGGGGGAAGCATGGAGGTTTTATTTGGACAAAATGCCCCAAAGAGAGACACGGATACCTCCAGCATCCTGCTTGGAGGGTTTCCCAGGAAGCCCTTTCTCCTAGCATGAGGACCCCCAAGCTGAGCCGAATCTGTCCTTCCTGCCATTTGTAGACCTCAAGTCCCTGCCTGGCCAGCTCCACTCATAAACTCATGGAGAGAATCCCCAGCCTTCCCTTGTTCCTGTGGGCACCCCCTTGCCACCATCTCTATCCTGACACCTGGCCCTGGTGTGGACCAGGGGATGAGCCAGTGCGGGACATTCATGGGCGGGAAGGGACAAGGATGGGGGGGGGCTGGGGCCGGGCCAGCCTGGCTGGTGAGCGAGCAGCGGTGACAAACGGGCTGTGCGGGGGCCGAGGGGCGGGGGGGGGG